CACAATTGATGTATGTATGGATTGTGATGAGTTGTATGAGCCCCTAATAAAACGATTAAAAAAATTTTTTTTCTGATTTTACTGACTCACAAACACACCAAGAATTGTTATATACTCATGGCGCGATTGAATGAGAATAAAGTTCCAGTTATCATGTGATCTCCACATGCTGAATAAGACTATGTCTCCAGGCTTAAGACTGGAGAATGTCATAACAAAAATATATGTTGACTGCTTAATTTAGGGTAATCTTATAATCCACTATACCCATGATAAATCTGACATGATATCAAAATGCCTAAGAGAATGTGAAAGAACTTAAAATGACCCACAGCCTAAGTTCCTGGGACAATAATATGGGCTGGAGTTTTCTAGCTTGATGCGCCTCCTCCTCGTTGAACCTTTGGTTTAAGGCAAACCTATTGCCATCAAATTGATTCCAACTCATAATGACTCTACCACTCGTAAGATATGAATGCTAAAAGCCAAGAAAGAATGGTTACCACCTTTTCTTAACACATCACAAAATAAAAACAATTGCTTTCTAATTGGAAAATAATTTATTAAAAGGCCAAAATTATCAAATAATTAAAAATATATTAAAAGCTCGACTACTAGTTATATTCAATTACTACATAGTTGCAATCTTACCAAGATACACTGTACTTCCATTTTCATTAAAATTATAATGTATATATCATTTCAATTCAGTTACAATATTTATCAATTTCCTTTTATAATACTGAAATTCTTCATGAGAAGACAGATTATCCTATAATACATATAACCAAATAGAACTGAAACTGAAAATTCAGATTCCATAAGATCCTTGTATATCCTTTTAGACATGTGTATACACTGTATGTCTAAGACGATATACATGTCTACATGGACAGTTATACCCTGTCCAATAAGGTCACTATGAGTCAGCCTGAACTCAATGGCAGTGAGATATTTAGTAATGTGTTACAAAGATTTACCATCAGCCCACTCTCCATATGACGGGTCAATCTTTACTTAAAAAGTATTCTTTTCTAAAATGAAATTCATCTTACCATTTGATTATTCTACAATGAAACTTATTCAACCAGTTATAATTTTTGTACACATCAATTCTCCATTGTGATGATTATTTGATAAAGGAGATTTTTATTAAATGAGACACTACATATTTAGATCATCTTCTGCATTATTAATCTATTCAGCTTTGTCTACACCCCAGCAGTTTTAGCATCTACAAATTAGGTTAATGGTTCCAAAAAGAGAAAACGTATGAAATTTATCATTTTAGAGACTCACAAACAGCACTATAATAAAACAGAAGTTATAAATGAGTAATACACCTATGGTTCTAAGGTGGCTCTAAAGATTTTACAGGATATTATGAAAATTCACTTGAGTAAATCACTAGAATCCCAACTATATAAAAAAATTTTCAAATTCCAACATTACAAATTTCTTATAACTCCTTTTTGGCTTCATGTTTTAATATTGCTCATAAACTAGAAAACTGGTTTAATCAGCTAGAATTTTCTAGGACTTCACTTCTGGTAAAGAACCTAACAAGCAATGAAATGCCACACACTGAAGAGAACATGAATAAGGAACCACTTACTATGCTCCTGAATAATTGATAATTGATAATGCCTGAAATTTAATGTGTTTACCTTCACTCTTGATGATTTCCTAGATCCTTCACGAAAGGCCTACAAAAAATATGGAGTTCTGAGTTAGTATTTTTAAAACAATGTAACAATTGAAGTGGTTTAATGAAGTTTCATGGAAACAACAAAAAATGGTAATAACCGTTAAATTCAGAATGAGTACAGTAAGTGCAGAAATCTATTGGAATAAAAGTCTGCATTTAGACTAAGTAAGATCACAGAAGCTCTGGTAGCATAATGGATTGTGCATTTGGCTGCTATTTATAAAATATTAGCCATTTGAATTCACCAACCACTCTGGAGGAGAACAGTAAGATTAAATACATATTTATACATGATATGATGCTTAGACAAAAACTTCCAAGTTTTACTATTAGAGCACAAAGAAAATTATCAGAAAATAATTATTTGTACACAACAAGCCAGACAAATACTAGTTAGGAAACTGAAGGAAGTTGCAAAAAGTCAGAATAGCATTAATTCAAGATCCACATTTGTAACCACATCACAATTGTAACCACGTTGAAAATTAAATGAAATTGGAAATGCCAAAAACACTGGAGTCAATTCCAGTTAATGGTTCCAAAAAGAGAAATGTATGAAATATCTGATTTCACTAGTTCCTAAATGCTCCCCACCACCACCACCACCACTATCATGATCTGAATTCTATCTTGCAAGTCTGGCTAGACCAGAGGATGTACACTGGTACAGATAGGAACTGGAAACACAGGGAATCCAGGGCA